ATTTTATTTAATCTTTAGTAAATATTACAAAATTACATATAATGACTGTCCTCAAAAGGTCGTCGAATTATATGTATTTTTTTTTTCAACAACAAGTATCATTAAAATCGGTTACCGAAAAGTACGCGAAACCGGATTCATCGCCTAGTTTGCCACCCTTAGGGGTGGAATAGTTTCTACAAATTTAAATAAGACTAATACTCAGGTACCCTCGTTCCAACAAAAAATTAACCATCAAAACCGATTCACAAATCGAATTGATAACCTCCTCCTTTCATTTTGAAGTCGGTTAAAAAAAGTAATAATTACGTAAAGGTAGTAAATATGTTTGAAAATATTGTTTAATAGTTTTTATTAAATTGCTTTGCTTACAAAATGACTATATGAAATGGCGCCTGATATATGACCCGAAATTTCCTTCTGTCTAATGTTAAATAAATGGAATATAAGTTTGAATCTTTTGTGTGCGTACCCGTCTTGAAGTCTGTCTGTGTTTTCATAGCTCCCAAAATAATATACTGTTTTTTTTTATAATACTAAGTGACGGGAGAAACAAGTCGTGCCCTTGGTGGTAAGCGACACGCCTATCTATGACAATTACAGTGCCACTCAGTACTTAAAATCGCAAAGATCTTAAGACAAGTCCCATATGCCCGTAATTTCATCAAAATCCCTTACTCTTCTCAACCTGAACGCTGTAATCTTCACATGCTCACTTCAAAAATCTTTGCAATGTGTTTGTATTCTTTTCCATAGTCTGTCTAGAATTGAATTTTTAAATTTTGTTTTTGATCTATTCACATTACATAATATACATATACAACATTAAAACCTATTTACAATCACAATTTACTCCTACAGCTATAATTATTCATACTCGCACTTACATATCAAATAGATTAATTTAGATGCACTATTTACACTTTACTATACATATTATTATTTATTGTCAATGTTTAACGCATAGTCGTTATATTTTTGTTTTCAAATAACTTAATCCCTCTCGTTGGCTCTGACTGAAAACCAGCGCCTTAGGAAACTTGTGCATATCGACTGTGAACCGGCAACCGGTACTTTCTCAATTTTCTAAAGATTTCGCTTTTTCATATAATTTTATGTTACTTGGAAATTATATTTAAAAACTACATATTTTTATGTAATAAACCAGATGCTATATAAACTATAGTTATTTAGCCTCCGTGGTTGAACGGTTACCATGTTTGACTGCCACGCAGACATCTCGGGTTCGATTCCCGGGCCGGGAGAAATATTTATATGGCCTACATTTATTTCTCTCGTGAGTTTGGGTGTAATGTGTGGTTATCTGTATGTGTGTATGTCTATGGCACCCGCGACACAGGGTTTTCCCTAGTGCGGGGCTATGTTAGCGTTAAAAATATATAAATGACGCAAACAAGGTTTTTCTTCATCCTGTAAAGTTGTCAAAATTGAGATAGTACCGGTTCTCTGTTCACAGTCGATATGCTGAGTCAGCGCCATTTCACTGCCTTGACAATAATGTTATGTTTTTTCTTATACAGGGTGTAAATTTGAGATGGGGCAGCAAGGCCAGCTACCTTAATCGTTGTAGTTACAGGAAAATGGTTCTAGAAGACTATCCATGAATTTTGAAGATATTTTGATTGGCATTCACAAATTTTGAAAAAATGGTATAGTCAGCAAGATAAAAGGCAATTTTTACAAAACTTTTTTTATGCCATTCGATCCGGTCTCTGGTAAGGATCAATAGACTCTATGGGACCAACTGAGGTAAGAGTTCTCTAAATGTCCGAAATCGCAAAAAACTTTTTACCATACATTTTGTAGGGACCTATTTAGTAATCTGTTATTCTAGGTAGTTAAGGTAACTAACAATAAGGAAACTAACAAATTGACAATGTATTATGTATTTCAAAATAAAAACAACAACGAAAAGCAAAATAACATAATAAGTCTGTGATAGTAAGTGCTCGAATTGATTGACGGATGCATCGATTCGCTCTCTGCCGCAAAGAACAAGTAGCGGTATTGAAAATTGCTGCGAGTGCGTCTTTCAATTCTTGAACACTGTTGTATTTTTTTTATAAGGCGTCAGATCAGGACTACGCGGTGGTCAATGAGAATTTTATAAATTATTTTGAGTATCACTGTTCGCTTGTACACTCAAGTGTTTGAACTCGGATGTCAGTTTTGAGGTTGCGAGGAGCGGGTGAGAAGGTTAATAGTGTTGCCAGTGTTTTATATGTGACGAGAAAAATACTTAAAATAAATGTTATTATTTAATAAATGTAATAAATAAATATAGAGGGAACTAAAATGATACATAACGGCGCGGCCACTATGGAAACCCAATAACATAACAATAACCTTACTATAACTCAGTTGTCAACCGATTTCTTTTCATTTTTCTTCACAACACCCGAATCGAAAGTCAAACTGTCGTATTCGAAACCGAACCGAAATGACGTCACACCCGTACGATTACTCGAACTTCTCGACCGGCAAAGGCTACAAACTTTATTCCGAATAATATTATCGAATGAAAGTTACCGAACGTCCTATTGTTTACAAAGCAAGAATGTAATATGGAAATCTCTTATTATTTTAAATAAAGTCTGTAAAAAAAGGTGGTTCTCTCTTCTGTGAGATAAGGTTACGCAGATCCAGCAAAGTGAAAACCCCAAATTGTCGTTTGTTCAGAAGATTTTTATTTTCACCTTGTATGTCGCCAATACAATTTCATGCGGAAGGTCCGGGCAGTTGTTCCCAGAAGGGACTCGGATCCTGGAAACAGTTCCAGGTTCCGAGGTTTTTTCCGTTCGAGGGTTTCTCACCCTATATACATACGGGCAGGGCATACGAATGTCAGAAGATCCGGGTAGCAGTTCCCAAGAAGGGACTCTACTCCTGGTTGCCTTACTGAGCTCTCTGTATTCTCAGATTTCTCTTCCCATTAACTTTTTTTTTTATGAATGATAATTTGCAGTTGGCCGCTGATGGCCTTTACTGCGCCACCGGAGAAAAATGGTCGAGCTGAAGGCTCATAACCCTTAAAATAAACTTAAAGCTAAGTAGTGGGCCTGAGGGCGCCCAAGTGGGCACGGATACTGGAGACTTCCGCCAGAAGGGCGTGCTGTTGGAGAGAAACTACCACTGTACGTGCTAAAATGAGGGGCTCTACGACCTTGCCGACGAGGACGGTTGGTGCGTGCGGGACGGGACTGACTAGCGATTTGGTTGGCCTTCAAAGTGGCGAGAGTGATAGGGTCGTCAGGGTCGTTGAGGACTTCCCTTGGCCGACGGGTCCTACGTACGCGGGGGGTTGTTCCCTGAGGGGGTCGTAAGAGGATGCAGTTACCACGAGGGGGTTGGGGTGGTGAGGAGCAGAGTCGAAGTATTTCCTCGATGCCTGTTTCATGAATTGGGCTATTGTGGGGAGCCGTAAATCTATATGGAGGTTAGCGTTGCGCAGGTACCACGGGGCACCCGTCGCGTTGCGCATGAATCTATTTTGGAGAGTCTGCAGGCGGTGTATTAGCGTGATCCCATTAACAAAATAGCGTTCGAGTAGTCACCATTCGAGGGAAAATCTTAACACCGCGATTCAGAAATAACGCCAAATGGGTCAATGCCATCTAACGGATTCTTAGAGAACTAAGAGTGAACAATCTGGTTTAAGGCCGTCTATTACATTAAGTAGGTTTGTTACAAGTCTAGATTGTGTTCAATTTTATCAATTTATTATAATGCAAGACTAATGCATTCCATTTTAATTGCATATTAATTGCATCCGAATCGAAAGTTTAAATCGGAACGTTCTGAATAGTTCGGAAATCGCCCTTCGATTCGAGAACGATATCCTATCGAATGATTCGGTTAAAATATCGAAGGGTTCTGAATCGGAGTCCAGATGATGCTTGCAGAGGAACTATCGTATTTGGACGCATTAAATTATCGTGTCGTCATTAAAATATCGTGTTCGGTCTCGACGAGTATGTTAGCGTACCTACAGGTGGTTATCTTATTGATGTTTTGGAGTGCAATGTTTTTAACGGAGTTTTTTGTAATTTTAATTTTCAGTATTTTCTAACTTCATATTGAAAAGAAGCGCAAATACATCCCACCAAAATTTTGAAAGCTATAATAGGAAATAATGATTAGCTCAGTAGAGCTAGAACGACAGCGCGAAACCTCCATGCAAGAACAGCAGTTTCTCGCGCAAGTCGCGCCCGTTTGTGCTAGATCTACAGTTTCCATTTCTACAGCGCTCGGAAAATAATCAAGTGTGCACTAACCTCGAATTTACTCGTGTTTGGGTTCATATCCAGCAAAGAATATGATGCGACGCGATCGCCATTTGCGTCGATTACAACTTCGCCGGTGATTCCTGGAAGGGAAATTGCTTTTATTGATGAAGTTTGTAACGTAGTAAATTAATAATATTTTATTTATTTTATTTAGGATGTATTCGGAAGAGTCCCGTGTCCAACAGTGGAACGTATACCTTAGAGTTATCGAACGAGGAATGCGCGCGAGCCATTTTTTTTATAGGCGACAACTGGTTCGGTTCCTCGCCCCCTTTGCGGGGTATCAGGCAAGCCGCTGTCCCGCTACCGCTTGGACGACGGCTCACTCCAAAATCTATCTTGAAGAGAGACGCACGCGCATTTTCTCGTAATAGCGATTTCCGCAAAGTTAATATTTTTTTCGTAATTTAAAGTATTTAAATCGTTTGTGTTTTTAAACCCACTTGTTTGGGTCCGAGGTTCCGGTACCTTACTACCGTTCTCCTCGTCGGCTGGCCTGAGCCCAGAGAGCGACATCGTGCCCCGGACATCTATCCGGCGGACACTCACAACCCGCACCCCCGGACTTCATTTCGGCGGACGGATCCGTTCCTGTCCCGGTTACTTCAACCCCGGACGTTACTTCGGCGGAACAGCCAGGGGAGTACCAGCTGCAGGTCGTAGGAAGGCAAAAGTTCAGTGAATAACCGTTGGGTTTTAAAATAACGAACCGCGCCCAAATAAATTTTTGTTTACAAGGGTATTCCTTCTTTTATTTAGTTACCCCGTAACAAGTTCCATGTACATCAATCACATGTTACCATTTCTTATGAATAAATCATAACCTAGCATATACTTGAGAATAGTAAGCCCAAGAGCCTTAACATTTACTTATAGAGCTTTAACTAGATGCATAGTCGTCGATAAACTGTAAAGCATGAAACACACAGAGAACGGGTGCGTGTCGGGCGCGTGTAGGGTTGGGTGCACGGCGGGTGTGATCCCGTGTATTTAGCAACGAACAGATCGGGCTCCACCGCACTCCCGACCCGACATGCGCTTGACGCGCTTTCACGCTTAAAGCATTCATCACTCTAACTACGCCAACACCCAAGAGTAGATAAAAGTGTTTTTTTCGCATTCCCAAATAACAAGCACTTCTTTAATCTCTTAACGTTGGTAATCTACGATAATCCAAACTAATATTACTAATTATAATTCTGCTTCGAGGCAGAAATGGTAAGGTGGCAGTGCTTCCCTGGACGAACTCTTTCACAAGGAGCTCTACTGTTATTAAAACTGTCTGTCAAGTTTTCATGCCTCAACCGCTGACCCAATTTCGTAGGCTTTTGTTATAGAGATAGATGGGATCTAGGAGAATGGACATAGGTTATTTTTTTGTCACGAAAATAAATCTTGAAGTGAAATAGGGGATAACGGTTTCTACGTAGAACCCAATCATGTCTCAGGTAAGAAGGAATACTTATTCTACGACTTCCACCAGCTAGTTAGTAAATAATATACCAAAAGAAAAGATGGGAATACGTTTAGGCGGAACTCGCTACATTATAAAAATGCGTTAATGACTACGGGAGTAAAAGGATCTTAAAGGAATGTTAGGAAGAAAAATAATTACCCATTTTTCTTCCTTATAAATTTTATTGACACACTAACAAGAGACGAAATATTCAATATTGAAAATAATAATAATAATTATAATAATAACGCACACATCTCAACATAGCCCCGCACTAGGGAAACCCTGTCTCGCGGGTGCCATGGACACACAGAGAACCACAAATTACACCCAAACTCACGAGAGAAATAAATGTAGGTCATACAAATATTTCTCCCGGCCCGGGAATCGAACCTGGGACCTCTGCGTGGCAGTCCGGCATGGTAACCGTTCGACCACAGAGGCAGTCAATAATATTCATAAATCAATAATATCCCAGAGAGATTGTAACATCCTCCACACCATGGCGCCAGAAACCAATTGCCATAGGTAGTCATAACTAAAAGATACATTTCTAACTACTTAATTATCCACTTAAACAATAATGCTAAAAATCACACTTTTCTGGCTCTTTCACCAGACGACCCGGACGTGACCACTGGTAATGTTTGAGTTTAACGTTAACTCTTCTGATGGTCTTGCATTGCTCCCTTTTATGAACGCGGATACATCTGCACAGGGCAGCTCGAGGCTGTACAAAGATCGCAAAGCTCGAAGGCGTTCACCAGTTGCGGTCTTTACTATAGTAACGCTGTTGTGACCGTTAACACCGTCCAACACTTCTATTACCAATGCGAGTCCGGGACATAATCGATATTCGCCAGAATTTGACCTTTAAAGCAATATAGATAAACGGACATGCTTGTCTAGGACGCACATTTGATTTCCGTCAAATCGTAAGGGGGAATTACATTGTTTTTCGTCCGGATGACGTCTTAACAAACTATTGGTGGCCTGGTAAAAATACGCAAACGATTTTACGTTTCGCCAAGGTCACGCGTCTCATAAATATGATGTAAATTATTAATTCTTCGTTTGTGGCAAACTTCCTAAAAGTTAGTACACTACTTTGCTTGCAAATTGAGGATGTAAGCGGCGGAGGCGCTAAAGCCGGGCCATTAGAGTTTGGCTTCCCTATGTTTTTAAAGCAAGTTAAAAAAGGGGTTCGTAAGATCGATACAACCTCATATGGCTTTGGTTGATTTCGCATAACAGTCAAAGTGTCGAATGAATCACTTTGGAGGAAATATATAGTAAAATTGAAGATATAAACTGATTTGTATATGGTGTGAAACACGATTCTTAAAAATTTTCATAGTAAAAAAAACACAAACTAACCTTTATACTTTTTACACCTGATAGATAGGACGATAAGGTCAACGAAGTAGCATACACACCTAAATAATGCCTATTGACTCTCGCCTTGAAAAGGTCGAAGTTATAACCTCGAAATTTTATAAGAAAACCGCGGTACTCAATAGGCACTTACATAACACCAATAATTTTTTTTTTATATCAACTGAACTAGATAAGGACACGATATACATTTTGGCATTAAATTCGTTTGTAAAAAAAATTAATTCCGAGAAGTCAGTGTTCCTTCCGCTCGACCCGCGCAATATCACTGATTCAATACGGGAAAAATTAGAATTCGAGCTAAGTTAGTACCGACTCTTAAATCATACGATTACTAGCTTATTCATTTTTGTTCATGAAATACTGGCTTGTTTGCAGGTCGTTAAACTTTGACTCAGACAGAACACCCAGTCTAGACGAATAAAGATTTCTTCGTCCATCGAATTTATTATTTTCACTATATAGCACAATATCTCGTTGATTATTATACTAACTAGAATAAATACTTTCACGTAGTCTATCCTACTATACTAATTTTCATAATGTTATTTGTTTAACATACAAAACTTCACCGCCTATTTCATCCCTTTTAAGATTTATTTTTGCAACAAAAGTAGCCTATGTCCTTCTCCTAAGTCCCATCTATGTACAGACAGAATTACTTTCGCATTTATAATTTAGGATTGAACCATGTTAGGCCGTGTTCTCATTATTCGTGACTACAGATAGTTGTGCAGTTTAAAGTGTCGTGGCTTGGATACTTAAATGAAGTTGTTCACACATAAATCAACACTATTAACTTTTTTTTTTGACGTTATGACGACAGATTGTCGTGACAATGGGAACAACTAGACATGACACTCGTTCAACGATAAGATCAACGTCCACGACATAGCACGACAGATAGTCGTGATATGGGAACGGGCTAGACGAGACTGTCGTCCAACGATAAATAAAACGTTTAAGATAAATTTTGTAAAAGATAATAAATAACAGTATGTTTTTTTTATATTTGTACACCAAAATCATTATGTTCCTATCTGAGAAGTGTGTCAACATGGAAACATTTATAATATTACTTTAGTTGTTTTATTATTATATATTTATTAGTTTAGACCATAAAAATAAATTACCTTGAAAAGTTCTGTTCCACATATTGCTGATAAGCCGTGCCCCGGCCAGCGTGAAGCCAGGTTCTTCCACGTGTTGTAGGGTATCATTGAGTGCGAGTGCATACAGCACCACTGCATCGTAGAATGCAGCTACAAACGTAGACACCACCTCTCCTTTGCCAAATGTATAGTTGTATTTGCTTTCTGCCAATTCCTTTACCTGTAATTTAGAATTTATAAGTTTTGCTAAATTCTAGTTGGCAAATCTGCCTTCCTTGTCACAACCTGCAAATAAAAATTGCCACTGAGGGTAAAAAAAATAACAATTGCCACGGAAATTAGGTAGTGAATACTAGTTCGAGAATGACAGATTTGCATTTTAGAAACTGTCGAGATGTTGATATCTAAACATTGACTTACAATTATATGGACGTCGGGTCCGCGCTAAAAAGTGTCCGCGCTTGTAAGGCGCTAAAATCGTATACAGAGCGCCAAACTCCGCTTTAGTCTTCATTTGTTCGACTGACAGCGCGATACTGCGATGACATTACAATTTAAATTTTGAATAGGTTGACTTGGGACATTTTTTTCGTGGTTTTTGTATTAGACCCGTCGTCCATTTATTTGTAAGTCAATGTATCTAAAGTTCTTTTTTCATTCCAAAAATGTCAATTGACTGAATTGAATAAGACAAAAAACCACTTTCAGGGGTTGTAGATCTAGTTTCGCTGATTACATAATTATTAATAACACAATTTCATTATAAATGTAGATTATGTTAGTATGATTCGTAGGAGAGCACCTTGTGAAAGAGTTCATCCGGGGATGTACTGCCATCTTACCTATTTCTGCCGCCAAGCAAGGCCAAGGTGCTGGTGAAATTACAAGCACATGGAACTTGTCAATTTATGTCTCAGGGTGACGGGCGCAGTGGTAGTGCCCACAAGATTTTTACGATTTTAAGCTCTGAATGGCACTGCAACTGTTATGGATAGCCGAGTCGCCACCAGGCGCACGACTTGAGGAGACACCACACTTGTCCACACGGTATTGACGGTCAGAAAAAAAATTTCCATACTGTAAAATTGATTTTTTTCCAGCACTTTACCCTTCAAAACCGGAACGCAGTAATGTGGGCGTTAATGCTTGGCGGCAAAAGTAGTTAAGGTGTCAGTACTTCCCTAAACAAAACATTGACAAGAAGCTCTCTATTGCTACTATATTCTTTCTCTATATTTGTCGCTACAAGGATGTAAGGTGCTGGTAAATTACAGGCACTTGGGACACGTTACAGGCTCTAAACTGTCATGGACAGGCGTGTAGGTTTCCACCAGGTGCAGGATTTGTTCGTCCCGTCAGTTAATATGTATTATTTAAAAAAAATCGTCTTATCACACGCGCAATTTATCCATCGGAGTCACTCCAGTGATATTTCAATTTTAGGTTTACCTAACCTATCGTTGTAACACTGTACAAATAAATAATATACTCCTGGACAAACAATTCGAACTACCAGAAAGTTTGGTGGGCTGGCAACACAGCGGTTAAGTTGTAAACTTAAGTGTTCCGTAATTTTATTTTAAATTTAATTGTTTTTATCGTGTTATTCTTGTAAAACCCCATTTCATTGCTGAATAATATCATTACAAAATATACTTATACAGTTTTTAAGTGCATACATAGTGATTTGATCAGGTTGAGTAATTAAACAAAGTGACGTTGAAAACAGTCAGGTTAACCGGCCTAATACTTTTCAAAAAGTGTCTTATGTGAAATAATATCAGTGTTTGCAAATCACATTTATCAATTAAGTTCATTGTTACACAACTGCAACAGTAATTATCGAGGTTAAAGGTAATTTGAGCATTTTCTAGTCACTTTGGAAAGATAGCCGTTACGAATGTGTTTTTAAAAATTCTGTGCTATTTCGTAAGTATTTCCATAATTATTAATATAAATAGGTAGTTAAACTTATAATATAACTGAAGAGTGGTTATTTTGTCTAATATTTAGTCTTTGTACGGATAAATTGTAAGTAACATAACCTCACTATTTAGTAATCGCTCGATCAGCTGTCTTTCTTGCTAACGTTCTTTCAAATTGTTTTCATTTTCTTTTTCAAAAGCATACACAATGTTTACACGCAAAGCTGCTGCGGAACGTCAATTGGAGGATAAACTCCAACACGCTTTATTAGAACTCAAAACAGCAAAGGCACTGAATGAGCAATTGCTAACAGAAAGAAACGATAGTGAAAAGGAAATATTGGACATTTTAGATAGGAATAGGCAATTAAAAAGTGATATGGCTGAATTGCTTATACAAATTACGGAGGTACAGTACCAAAGAGACCAGCTACAGATTGTGGTAGATGGATTCGACCAAAGCAGCAGCGCATTCGAAGAAGCCCTTGCACGCATTTCTTCATTAGAATGTGACCTACGAGACGCATACAATCAAATAACTATAATGGAACAAGCAAGGGACGAACAACAGTCAACACAGTCGCAGTCCCTATTTGATGAGCTGATCAGCAGTGCTCCCACAATGGTCTGTGCTGTACCACCCTCCTGTTCAGAACCAATCACCACTGATCTGACTTGTGAAAGTAACTCATTTAATTCAACAGCTTTAGCTTTAAATTGTAGTAAAAAAAAATTAAAAAAGTATGTCAAAATTAATAAATACATATCCAGTACAAATAAATTAATAAAGAAAAATGCAGCATTTTGTAAAAATGTATCATTAAGAAAAGAACGTCAGAGTTTGTTGAATGAATTGAGTGATTGTACACAAAATCTTGAGAAAAATAGGCTTAGCTATGAATGTGACACACAGCGCCTCCAGGCAGAATTACATAGTGTAACAAATTCATTAAAATTAATAACACAGAAATATGAAACTGCGCAACAGGAGATTAAGGAGCACACACATGCTATGGATAATTTATTAGATTTGTGTAGATATAATAATGACAGATTTGACTCTTTAACAAATAATCAAGTTTGCAATTGCAAAGAAATAAAACCACAATCCTCCCTGTCTGTGTGTGTCACTAATCCCTCCTCATTGTTGTTGCAGGAATCTAGTTTAGAATCAAAAAATACCTCTTTGTCAATAACTAGATCAAATGAAATTCAAAATAATATAGTTATGTATAGTGATGAAATGGGTAAAAACATAGGTTTGCAACTTAACCACCTAGGATTAAAATTAACAAATATTTGCATGCCAGGTGCAACATACTGTAAAATATTAGATAGTATTTTGTCAACTAAGTTTGACAAAGACACTACATTAATAATTTTAATTGGCAGAAGAGGAAAATGTAACAAAAAAGATTTAATACAATATTTTTCACAATTAAATAATTTAATTAATATAAAAGAAATTATTTTGTTAGCTTTTCCCTTCAGCAATTGCCTCACAACAAGTGAAAATAATTTGAGGCATAACTTAAATAGGACATTACACAGCTTGACATTTCATTATAGTAAATTTCATTTTATGGATACTAATAATTTTATTAGTAAATATTTTTATTTGACTAAAGATAGGTATTATCTTACTAGTTATTTTAGGAGACAGATAGCAGAGATGCTATCATATTATATTAATAATTCAGCCAAATCATTGGCTACCAGACCGGCTGCTTCTATTGAGCAGTCCGTTGACATAGGTCAGTTTACTGACAATAATAATTCTGTTGAAATTAATTCAATTTCTAATTATTTAAATTAATTAATAAGACAACGGAGAGATACTCTTGCAACACATTGACAGTAAGAAACCAACCTAAAACACACAGAAATAAAATAAATTTTATATTAAACCTGGTGCACCAAAATATTCAAGGCATGAAAGGCAAAGAGCTAGAAATAGAATTATTTATTAACTGTAACAATATTGATATTCTTTGTATTACTGAACACCACTTTCTATCACAACATCAGTTCATGTTTAGCTTCAACAATCACCAGGTGGCTAGTTCGTTCAGCAGAGAAAAAGCTATTCACGGCGGCTCTTTAATTCTTATTAAAAATAATTTAAAATTTAAAGAACGTAAAGATATTGTGAGCCTATCTATTGAGCGGACTATAGAGATATCCTGCATAGAGCTTGAACGGCTTGTTATATTAAGCGTGTACAGACCCCCTCATTCATCTTACGAACTATTTGAAAAAAGATTAGATGAAGTTTTAGCCAAATTAAATAATATAAATAAATATATTGCTGTTTGTGGTGACTTCAATGTTAACTTATTAGAAGATTCCAGTGCTAGCAGTAGGCTCATATCATTTTTCCAATGTTATAACCTTGTGAATCTTTTTTTGGTGCCTACTAGAATAACTTCTACTACTGCCACTTGTTTAGACAACATTTATACCAACGCCGTACCTAGTAATAAATCTATTATAAATAAATTAACTTCAGATCACTGCGGTCAATTGGCCACTTTTAATATAACTGTTGACAAAATGCCGAAAAAGGATATCACATGTGTTCCGATAAATAATGGTCGACTTAAAGCTTATAGAAATAACGTAATGCTTAAACTAACTGACATTCCGTACGTTAACGATCCCAATAAATTGTATAATTCAGTTTTCAACATAGTGAAAAGTGAACGTGATAATGTTTTTAAGTCCAAAATCATAACTATTAATAATTCATTGAAATTTAGTGAATGGGCGACTGTGGGAATTCACAAAAGTAGACAAAGGCTGTATGATCTTTACGATGAAAGAACTTATAACACTAGTAACAGTTTTAATGATTTTGTTAGGAAATATTCGAAAATGTTTAAACGTGTTTGTGTGGCAGCCAAAGCAATGTTTATTAATAATAAAATAAAAAGCAGCGCGAATGTAGTAAAAACGACTTGGAATATTATAAATAGCGAAACTGGAAGGGTCAAACCTCGTAACTTAGATTTTCAACTAAGATTTAATGACAAAATTGTAAACACAGACGCAGAAGTTGCTAAAATATTTGAAAATTTTTTTACCAACATTCCAATTTTGACTACTAATTCGTTAAATTCATCTCCCACGGCCGCTGCATCCTTACTAAAAGAAAATAATGCAGTTAGTATCACTAATTTAAGGTTCCGTCATGTATTTCCAAACGATATTGTTAAGGCCTTTAAGTCTATAAATATAAAAAATACTGCTGATCTTGATGGTCTTTCAGTCAGAGTAATTAGTTCTATAGTTGATT